TAATGTTATTACATATTTTACCATAAAATAATGGAAAACAATGTAATAATGGTGATATAAAATGATACAATTACACTGTATATACTGTAGCAAAGTATTGTGGTTGTTGTTTTGTGCCATTGCATCGGACCCAACTCATAGTGACCCCTCCTTGGGTTTCCGAGGCAGTATCACTGTGGAAGTAGATTGCCCCATCTTCCTTCCAAGGAGTGGCTGGTGGGTCTAAACTGCCAGCCTTCTGGATAACAGTCAAGTGCCCTAGGCATGGAAGATATAAATCTACCAGCCAAACACCAAACCAAACTCACTGGTCACTGGTAGAGACCCCCATTTATTTTCAAGGGTGTAAATCTTCATGGAAGCAGACTGCCTAATCTTTCTTCTGCAGAACAACTGGTGGGTTTGGAGCATCACCTTTCTGGTTAGTAGCCACATGCCTTAACCACTATACTACCAGAGCTCCTTCTACCTAAACATAGCCAGGAATATTAACAGTGTGTTCATTTATTATGATTATTCCTCATATTTTCCGTAAATCTTGCACAGGACATGCATATGGTATTCAAGATGTATTTTGTATTGAACTTACCATGTTGTATCTTGCTTACCTCCCACACTTTTTAACACCATATTCTTGTGTTTTTTGCAGAAGTCTGGGATGCACTAAATTTTTTTCTTCATTCTTTCACATAAATCTCCTATGAGGTTTTCATAACTAATTACATTTTCACTTGCTTTCTCTATAAAAACTAGTGTTTTGATCATCACATAACTATGGGGGGAGGAACACACTGCCATTAAGTTGATTCTGACTCATAGCGCCCCCGATTGGGTTTCCGAGGTGGTGAATCTTTACAGAAGTAGATTGCCCAGTCTTCCTTTCACCGAGTGGCTGATGGGTTTGAACTGCCAACCTTCTGTTAGCAGTCAAATGCCTTAGACACTGTGCCACCAGAGCTCTTTAGAACTATAAAAGGCAACTTAAAGAATTGATGGTATGATTTTTTTAAGACTAAGTTTTGGAAACAACAATAACCCATCAACAGAAAGTGAAATGTAGATTGCAACCTTTGGCACAAGGTTATGGTTTTCCTTTAATAGAGATTTGAGTGTCATCCTGAGAACTACCCCCTATGAATATGGACGATGTGGACATCTCATTTCTACCAACTCAAAAGCTTGTTTGAAAGTAAAATATATATTTTTACACGACTTTGCTAAATCACCTTTCCATCTCCTCTGCCCTAATCTCACCTGCAGACCTGCCTGGCAATGCCCTAAATAGGGCCTCCAAAGACCTCTGTCCTGAGGAAGGAAAACGAACCCCAGACCGCTCCAACTGGCAATTCTTGCAAGAGCTTTCCTGCCTGTATATACTCTACTTGGGCATGTTAATCAAGGGGCTCTGGTGGTGCGGTGCCTAAGGCACTTGACTGATAACCAGAAGGTTGATGGTTCAAATCCACCAACCGCTCCCTTGAAGGAAGATAGGGCAATATACTTCCCTAAAGACTTACCAGCCATTTCTCGGAAGGAATGTTGGCCAATCTACTTCCTTAGTGATGACGCCTCGGAAACTCAGTGGGGGCCGCTATGAGTCAGAGTCCACTGATGGCAGTGAGTTTGGCTTGGTTTGTGGTCGGAATATTTATTAGTCAGAATGGGGCTTTCTACCCCCCCCCCATGGTATTGTATAGGTTATCACTTAAGAAGATTGGGTTGCTCTGCTTATCGTTGTTCACTTCACCACCAGCTAGTTTCAGATGACAAAAAAAAAAAAAAAAAAAGTTCCAGAGAGAAGTTTTGCTCCAGCGTGCGGTATCAGAAAGAACAGAGGAGGCCGGATTTGAACCAGGACGTAAGTCCCCTTTGCAAAGGCTGGTAGCAACAAAGAGGGTGAAAACACCCTACTCAACCCAAGCACAGTTGTGGGTTAACCAGGGCTGGTTTACTAAGGAACGAGGCAGTACCGAAGGGAGGAAGAGCAGGAGAAAGCTGGCAAAGAAAAGCTTTATGGGGTTCTTTCCTAGGTGAGGTTAAAAATAATGGGTTTTGGTAGAAGGTCTGTTTTTTGCCGAGTGACTGGCGAACTTTTTCCTGGAGAGAAGCTCCCGGAGCAATTTACAGCATTCCAGCCTGAGGCATTCGTGCCAGACACTCTGAATAAACCTTTAGAAACCAGCGGTGCAGGGAATGGGGGGAGGGGGCGGTGTAACGCCTCCCAAATCCGCCCTGCTGAGGAAGGAAAGTGAGCCTCAGGCTGTTTCTAAGTCCCCTCGCTGGCCGGGACTGATTTGACAGGCTCTACCGCAGCCCTGTGTGCCTTTTTTCGGCGCAGAAGAACAGTTTGGGATTGCGCAGAAAAACCAGCGGCTCCAAAGAAATGCCAAGACCCCTCAAGTCGAATCGGAAAACCGGGAAGAAGGTGCTAGTGCTGGAGCTGCAGGGATTAGGAGCGGGGTAAATAGGGGCAAAGGTTGTGCCGAGAGCCGCGCAGCCTACAGGGGGCGCGTTGTCACTGTTGAAGCCGGCGCTGAACACTCTGCTGTGCACCGAAATCCGAAGAGCACAGGGGTGCAGGACTAGGGGAAGTCGAAAGCTTCGCAGGATGGAAGGCAGTGCCCTTCCCGGGACCGACTTCCTTTCCCTGCCCCAGCTGATTCCTTTGCTCGTGGAATTATTTCAAGAATCATATTTTAAATCAGGAGTAAAAAGATAAGGGGAAGGGGGAACTCAAAAACTTGCAAACATTCACATACTCCTAGAGACTAGATTAACCAGGGTATTCTTCCAAAGTTTTCAATTCCAGATACACCAGAAAGCTGCCTGTGGTTGTTTCGCGTCTTGGTTTGTTGTTTTGACATTTATTTTCTATGAGAAGCGTCCAGTGATTGTGTTAGAGGCATTATTGTTCTTAGCTGCCATCGAGTCCATTTTCTATTCACAGGGGCACAGGCAGTATGTTTTGAGGTGTGCATGCGTAACTATGCGTGAATGTGCCTGTATGTGTAGCTGCGTTTCTATCCCGGACTACACAGAAAACTTTGAAAAACAGGTGACTTTCTTTTGGGTTCCACTGGGCATCCCCTTTTACTAAGCCCTCTGGAGAACAGTGAAGTTATCTCCACCCGACGACGCTTCTACATCCACTACTCGCGCATACACCCCATACAGACTTGTGCGAAGCATCCGCGCCTCTGCCCTCCTGGAAACCTTCAGCACTTTGGGGCCCCGGCCCACGGCGTCAAAGAGGCAGACTTTGGCTTTGGGGGATTTTGCTCTGGCACTCGCTCAGCGGATTAATGCCTCCGCTATGAATTGGTCAAACCACCAGCGTTTCCGCAGTTAAGAACGCTGCTGGTGGCTGTATTTTAGGTCCAAAGCCATGCAGGCCAGGAAGCCAGGGGTTGTGGCCTGGGCTAGAAGGAGGAGAGTTTCCCCTGCATCTGCGGCTCCCAACTGGCTTCCCTTGCAGCCTGCTCCACACCAAGTACTGCCTCTCTCAATGCTCAGTAACCTGTTCATTACCTCTGTCCTCCACCACCTTCCATCCCAGCTCAGGGCAGGTGGGCCGTGGGTCAGACGCCCATTGTTTTCGAGGGGGAAAGGGTTGCATCCCTAGGCCCAGCCAGAATTTCATAACCAAGGACTTCCATGTCTAGACACCTGTAACATCAACCACCACTACCACCCCATGCAGGACTGAAGGAAATTTCGGACCCAGGAGCTGGAGGAGCAATAAAAGAGAATTATAAAACTCCCTCTGGAGTGCTGAAAGGACAGAGACCCTCCTGAAGTCAATCTCATAGGTCCCATTATTGATTTTCTTACGCTTACCCCCCCCCCACACACACACCTCCTGTTTGTTTTAGTTACGAAATGCTGTGGGCACCTCAGTTTTAACTGAAAAGTAACCTTGAATCACGCCGGCCTGAATGTCAGAGACAAATCGCAGCCTCCTAACCGTCGGCCACATCTGGCAGAGCTCCCACCTTCAGGCTGCGGCTCCGTGCGTCGCTAGGGGCCCTGTTTGGAAAAGGCCGAAAGCCGAAGTGGCCAGACAATGAGTGTGGTGAGCTCCTGCCGAGGCCACAGTGGGTCTCAGCTGTAACCGGGAGGGGCTTCCCAGGAGCTGCGGCCGCCAAGGTAAATGTATATGCACAGTTTTCCTAAATGAGACACAGCTTTTGCAATTGGCTGTGCCACCATTTGATGCTTTCACCGGGAAGGAGAAACGAGAGCGAAGAAATCTAGGATAACTAAATCCAGCTTTTATCCTGCTCTCCAGAAGGGAGTGGGGGGTGGGGGCAGAGGCAGCCTGAGCCCTCAGAAGCGTAATTTCGGGAGCGCGGCACCGGGTGCCCCGTGGGGCTAGAGCTCCAGGCTGCTCCCGAATGTCCTCCTTCCGGATCACTTCCCAGTTCCAGAAGTCCCCAAAGGGCCCGGGAGGAAATGGGGGCGACCAGGGAGATCCGCAGGCGTGCTGACAGCCGCGCTCCCCTCGGCAAACCGCGCGCGGGGCAGGTGCTGCCGCCGGAGGGCTCCTCTCACCTAGGTGTGAGCTGATTATTCAAATGGGCTGCAGGGGTCTAGGGATTGGAGGCCGCCCGGGCGCGCCGCGCTATATCACTTGGCGCCCACGTCACTGCGGCACTTGTCCGCTCCGCGGGCCGCACCTCCTCCTTCTCCGCCTGCCCCGCCCGCGCGCGCTTCCCGCCGTCTCCGGGCAGCTGGGCGGCACTGCCCACTCGGCCTCCACCCGGCAGCCGGCGAGCGCGGCAGCAGCGGCGAAGGGCGCTCCCTCCCAGCAGCTGGGCTCCGCACGGCCTCCGCCCCTGCGAGGCCCCCTCCTCCCGCCCACATCCAACTACCGCCTCTGGCCGGGAAGAGAGGGAGTGGAACCACCGGCAGGGAACTTGAGGAGGGAGGGACAGTGTCGAGCTTTTTTTTTTTTTTTTTTTAAGAGGGTGGGGGTGAGGGGGACTGCTTGGTCGTTTGTTGTGGCTGTTAAATTTTAAACTGCCATGCACTCGGCTTCCAGTATGCTGGGAGCGGTGAAGATGGAAGGGCACGAGCCGTCAGACTGGAGCAGCTACTATGCCGAGCCCGAGGTAGGCACTAGCCTCGTCCATCGGGCAGCGGGGCGGTGGCGTGTGCACCTTCCCCAACCTCAGAACAGCTTCCCCGCCTGCCCCTGCTCCCGCCCCCAGCCTCTCCGGGCACCCTCCTTTGCCTCCCTCGTTCGACTCAAATGGGTCTCTTTTTTATACGACACACTGTTAGCCTTGAGATAATATTAACTTTGTGATCAAATATTGACTTGCGGCGCCTCCAAATCCTCTTCGTGGCCGAGCCACACACTATTCTAACAGAGTTCTGTTTGGCAGTGCGCGGCTGGGGAGGGGTTGGGAGGTCGGTCGGCTGGGGGTGGGGAGCTGAGTAGAGAAGGTGGGTAGAAGTTGGGGAATGAGATGAAGGCGAAGAGGCAAAGAGTTGGGAACAAAAAGAAGAAAAAGTTTGTGTCTGCAAAGCCCATCCGCATAACGTTCAGCTCGCTGTCTCTTCCCTACCCCCATCCAGTGCCTCGGCTGGCTCCAGAGTACGAGCAAGTTCTGTGTTTCTGTTCCTCCAGGTCAAGTAGGGGGTCCCGGGAAGAAGGTCCAGCTGAGAGGAGCTTGGGAAAGTCTCCGCTCCAAGGTGCCCCTTGAGCCCTGAGCGGTGTCCCGCAGGTTGCTCACTAGGGCCGGTTTGCCAGCTCTGTCTGCTAGCTGAAGAGCTTGACAGGCTCTGGGGCAAGGAGAAATCTGAGGTGTTTGGCTTGAGGGTGCTCCAGAGGACCCCTCTTGTAGAATCTGGGCGAGGCGCTGAAGGGCTAGGAATGGGACGCCAGCTCAGGGCAGTAGCTGGTTCGCCACCTCCCCAAGGGTAATCCCGGCACACTCTAAGGGAACTGACTCGGTATCCTGGACCGCGGCCCAACAGAGTGAAGGCTTTCCGGAGGCCTCCCCAAGTCAGGGTCCTGCGCTGGCGGGCGGGTGGGAGGTCATGTCAGTCTGGAGCTGCGGTGCTAACTTGTGCGCCTCCCTTCCGGCTCTATCCGCAGGGCTACTCCTCGGTGAGCAACATGAACGCCGGCCTAGGGATGAACGGCATGAACACGTACATGAGTATGTCGGCGGCCGCCATGGGCAGCGGCTCAGGCAACATGAGCGCCGGTTCCATGAACATGTCGTCGTACGTAGGCGCAGGCATGAGCCCGTCCCTGGCGGGCATGTCCCCTGGCGCGGGCGCCATGGCAGGCATGGGCGGTTCGGCCGGGGCGGCCGGCGTGGCGGGTATGGGGCCGCACCTGAGTCCGAGCCTGAGCCCGCTCGGGGGCCAAGCGGCCGGGGCCATGGGCGGCCTAGCCCCTTATGCCAATATGAACTCCATGAGCCCTATGTATGGGCAGGCTGGCCTGAGTCGCGCTCGCGACCCCAAGACATACCGGCGCAGCTACACGCACGCCAAACCACCCTACTCATACATCTCGCTCATCACTATGGCCATTCAGCAAAGCCCCAACAAGATGCTGACTCTGAGCGAGATCTACCAGTGGATCATGGATCTCTTCCCTTTCTACCGGCAGAACCAGCAACGCTGGCAGAACTCTATCCGCCACTCTCTCTCCTTCAACGACTGTTTCCTCAAAGTGCCGCGCTCACCCGACAAACCTGGCAAGGGCTCCTTCTGGACCCTACACCCCGATTCGGGCAACATGTTCGAGAACGGCTGCTACCTGCGGCGCCAGAAGCGCTTCAAGTGCGAGAAGCAGCTGGCTCTGAAGGAGGCCGCTGGCACCTCCGGCGGAAACAAAAAGGCAATTGCTGGGGCCCAGGCCTCGCAGGCTCAGCTGGGGGAGACCGCTGGGCCAGCCTCTGAGACTCCGGCGGGCACCGAGTCGCCCCACTCGAGCTCCTCTCCTTGCCAGGAGCACAAGCGAGGGTCCCTGGGGGACCTAAAGGGGACATCGGCCGCAACGCTGAGCCCCCCGGAGCCAGCGCCCTCGCCAGGGCAGCAGCAACAGGCCGCAGCTCACCTGCTGGGCCCGCCTCACCATCCAGGCCTGCCCCCGGAGGCCCATCTCAAGCCGGAACACCACTACGCCTTCAACCATCCCTTCTCCATCAACAATCTCATGTCCTCAGAGCAACAACACCACCACAGCCACCACCACCACCAACCCCACAAAATGGACCTCAAAGCCTATGAACAGGTGATGCACTACTCCGGCTACGGTTCTCCTATGCCCGGCAGTCTGGCCATGGGCCCGGTCACGAACAAAGCTGGCCTGGACGCTTCACCCCTGGCCGCAGACACCTCCTATTACCAGGGAGTGTACTCACGGCCCATTATGAACTCTTCTTAAGAAGAAGGGCTGCAGGCCTGGCTGGCTATGGCAGCCAGGGGCAAGGACATAAAGAGAGCAAAAGTGAGGTTGAGACTTCGGGAAGGAAGTGTTGGAGAGATGGGTATGGGTGGGAAGAAATCCAGTAAACTCCCTATCCCCAGTACCGAAATCTCTCCACCCTCTGCAGCCCTTCCCTCACAAAGATGGGTCACATGGACACCTATCATTCTATATAAGGGGAGAAAGGAGAAACAAACAAACAAACAAAAATAATAATAATAATAATAATAAGCCCTCCAGTTTCCACTACTGGGTAGACTCCTGCTTCTTTAAGCACCTGCAGATTCTGACTTTTGTTGTTGTTGTTGTTCTCCATTGATGTGATTGCAGGGAAGTCTTATTTAAAAAAAAAAAAAAATGTGTGAGTGACTCAGTGTAAAACCATGTAGTTTTAACAGAACCAGAAAGTTGTACTATTGTTTTAAAAGAGAAAAAAAAAATGATGTAAGGGTCTGTTGTAAATGAATAAGAAAAAGGAAAAAGTACATTCCCATTCTTGACACGGTGAAATCCAGGTCTAGGGTCTGATTAATTTATGGTTTCTGTGTGCTTTATTTATGGCTAATAAATGTGTATTCTGGCTGCAGGGCCAGAGAGCCACAAATCGATATTAAAGTGTTGTTGATGGTTTTATCCCTTGGATCTTTTCTTCAAGGTTGTGTCCCTCCCACACTTACCTTTCACAAACTTTATACATGAACAGGTCTGGAAATTATTTAGAGGAGAAGGGAGAGAGGCCGTGGCTGGCTGCGGGTTTCATTTTATTGAGGTGAAATGTTTGATGTTTTCCCAAACATTTGATTATAAACATTTTTAGGCATACCAAAGTTGAAATAATTTTACAGTTAATACACATTCACCCACCTCCCCAATTCTACAGTTAACATTTCACTATACTTGCTCTATCACATGTCTGACCATCTATTCACCCCTCCATCAATCAACCCATCTTTTATAATGCATTTTAAACAGTGTTGCTAACATCAGAATACTTCTGGAGCCCTTCAACATGTGCACAGTTAACCAGAGCTCAATGTTGTTTACAGTTCCTTTTTACTTATAGAGGTAAACTTTACATACAAATGAAACACAGATCCCGTGGGTTGATGCAGGTTTGTTTTTAAAGCTAGAGAAAACCCTTCTCCACATATCTGCATTCTCCACAGGGCTCCAGCACTGGGTTTTGGTCTCTGGGGAGAAGCTTGGATTACACATGTTTTGGCTGCCAGTCCTAGTTTAGGCCTCCCTTCAGGTGAGTGTGCCTTGACCAGATTTGCAAACCCCTGGGTGCATCACTTTGCCTCTTCACCGCTGCCTCTTAGTACTCCTTTACCCTCCTGTAGGGACCTCACATCAACCCTACAGCCTCAGGCCTCTGTCTACACCTCAGTCCCTTCACCTTCCTTCCTCACAGAGATGTTCTACTAGCCTTGCCATAGCCCTTGAGTAGTGAGGCTGCTAGAAGCAACCCCTCCATCACCGGGTCTGAGGAACTTTTTATTAGATCTCCTGAAATTAATACTAAAGGCATAGTTCAGTGATGATCTAAATCTCCTTTTGTAAATAAGGTATCTGTGAGGATGGGGTAGAGGTAAGGGATAGTAAGGATTTTCATGTGACTATTAGTAGTGGGAGCTCTGGTGGCATAGTGCCTAAGGCACTTGACTGCTAAACAGAAGGCTGACGGTTGGAATCCACCAGCCACTCCTCAGAAGGAAGGTTGGGCAATGTACTTCTGTAGTGATACTCCCTCAGAACAGGGAGATCCAGGACCTGGAGAAAAGCCCTCCTTCCCCTCCCCACACCCTTGTGCCATTGCATAGTATTCCTCCCAGAAAGGTTAGGTTGGCAAACTGAAGTTGCAAACCGACAGGATTGCTATTTTGTGACTCTTAAAGGAAAATCTGAAACAATAAAGCCCCAGAATAAATTCTTACACACCCAGCTGCCTCTTCCACACGTCCTAGCAGTCCTAAATCTGCGTTCAACGGCCATGAATGCCAGCAGGCAGGACCCTGAGAAGGAGGCAGCCAGACATAGCTGGCTTGCAAGGTGGCCAGGCTAGGGCAGGAAACAGTGGCCATCAAGGTCTTGCAGACCAGGAGTCCCTTTAATGCACAGCTAGCTTGAGGTGGGTAAGAACTCTTCGCAGGTCTCCAACCCGGGGCTTTTTTGTTTTTGTTGTTGTTCCGCCTCAGGTTTCTGAGCCCAGACCCCTTTTTCCCCCGTACTACTTTTTTAGGCTTTTCTACCATCCAAACTTGGACAGTTCCCGCTGCACCCCAGCCTTGGAGACGCCTCTCCATAGCCCTCTGCCACCTACCCGGGTCTCTGTCCTTCCAAACTATGGCCTTCCCACGCGCTTGAAGGGGGTTTGCGCCTCCTCCTCCCCTCCAAATCCCTTCTTAGCGTGCCACATTGTCCCGCAGAACACAAGGAAGAGAAATGGGGAGGGGGGGATCCGGAGGCCGCGGCCAGCAATCAGGGCTGATTCTCCCCCTGGCGAGGACACACACGTCGTGAGCTGGGCCTGAAATGTGTTTCATTATCACATAAAAGGCTCCCGTGGCGAAGGAGCCTAGAGGCAAGGCCGGGGGCTGAGAGGGACAATGGGCGCTGAAAGCGCTGCTCTAACCTGCTATGTTTCGTATCATATGCCCATTGTTCGAGGGTCGTTTTAAACTACTTAGCGCATCCCCCTCAACTGATCCGGGCCGATAAGATATAGTTCTGTCCGAATACATTAAAAGGATGTCGGGGGAGTGGGGCGCTCTCAGAGGCTTTTCGTCTCACTCTGCACCCCCCCCCACACACACACTTCTCCCTTCCCCCATCAGGGCTCCGCGCCGAAGGCGCCCACAGCTCGCCCTCCACCCGCTGCCCCAGCTTTATGTGTTGTGGGGAGCAGCCTTCTTCCCCCCCTTTCTTTTACTTCCTTTGCCCCGCGCCTTCTGCGCGCCAGTTTAAGTAACCGTGATCTGTGAACAAACAAAGTCAGTAAACAACCGAAAAAAACACTCTAGATCCGAATTCCAGGAGGGTAAACTTTCCATGCCACGTCACACTTCAGCAAATTTGCACAGATATTATATTGCGTCCCCCCCCCCGCTTTATTCCTTTTTTTTTTTTTTTTTTTTTGCCGGGATCCCATTGTACTTAACTGAATTTTATAACGCTGATCGATATCTTGGTAAAATATTCATTTTTAAACTAGCGGGCAGTGAAATCTTTGCTTTGTGTGCTAAAGTCAACAGTCGCTCGGTTTGAGCTCAAATAAATGCGGAGATGCCTCGGCTGGGAGCAGTCCGCCGCCTCCCTCCGCGCGCTGGACGGTCACCGCCGCAGCTGCCAGCCCGCGCAGGTAGGAGCGCGCCCACTTGGGGTCCGCGCCCAGCTCCCGAGGCAATGTCTGTGCTCTTCCCCTCCTCCCTGCCCCTCCTCCCCGCTCCGCCAGTGCTTCTTTCCAGGGGCTCCGTGGTGTATTAGGAGGTAGGATTGTTTCTCACAGAATCAGTGAGGAACCTGAGGCTTTGAGGTTTGCATTTTGTGGGGATTTCAGAGAATGAAGGTGCGGAAGGATGAGGGGACGAAAACTTACAAACTCAGACCGAGTCTGGTATCTAAGCACAGTTGGAGATGCATTTGGAGGGGCCCCAAGGCTGAGGAGGAGGCTACCGGAAGCCATGACAGGTTCCTGCAGCCTCTCGAGGTTGAGGAGACGATCCGCAGGCCGCTGGCTTCCCAAGGACAGTAGCAGGGTGGGAGGAAACGCGCCTTTGGATTTATAGTCTGGGGTGGGAGTCTACAGGAAACAGCTTGCTAGGTGCCTAGTGGCCCGATAAGCAGAGGCTGGACTGTGACAGCGCCCACTCCACAACATGTAAGAGTTCTCCTTCAGCTTGGCGTCTCCCAGGGCACCGGTCAGGCGGCGGGTGCGGTGGTTTGGAGTCACACGGGAGCACTTGGTGCACGCTGCCCAGAAGCCGCTGTGTTTGGAAGACTTTCTTTCCCAGAATCTAGTTAACATTCACTCTTGCTCCAGACAGCGCCTTGTGGCTCCTATGCACAAAGGCTCACAATCGCGAGCAGGTCCTGATGTTTCTGAGTTAAGATCTGGGAACAGGACCAAAAGGTAGAAACGGGTCGCCAGGTCATTTATACGCTCATTTCCCTGCAACTTTATCGCCTGTTTTCCTAAAGATCCCCATCCAGCTTCTGAACCTGGTCAAGGGCGTGCTCCGGAGCGCTTGACTTGGCGCTCCGAAGCCGGTGGTTTTGAGTTGGCCGCACAGAACAGGGAGGCGCGGCGTCGGAAAAGTAGTTGTGCTGCTGCTGCTGTTGAAACCTCAGGACCCTCGGCTTTGAAGGAGCGAAAAATTCTTTCTCCCCGAGGTCTACAAGATCCCTCCACCCCGCCCTGTTTCTGAACTTCCCGTGGGGCTTTTGCTTTAAACGCCTGGTTTAAACGCAGGGAAACCTGTCGGCTGGGTGTTTCACTGGGCAGTCAGAAGCGCTAGGTGCCGGCTACTCCCAGTTGGAAGGGTCTTCCTGACAGCGCCGCAATTACTAGATCCCAAACTCAAGTGGGCTGAAATCGGGTTTGTATTTGGCAGCGTCAGTGTTTCGTGGCCCCCTGAATGTGGAGGGACATTGATTGCCCCTTTTTCTCTTTCCCTGGCTGGGGAGCAAGACCGTCGCCTTTCGAGATCCAGCTCGGGCTCCACAGAGGCTGGTTATCTCTCCTGAACAAGATGGAACGTCTTCAGGACACTCGGCTAGGCTAATCGTTTTTAAATAATTAATGGCTCCCCGTGCCTCTAGTAATGCGCGGCCTCGAATCCGTCAATTACTTGTCATTAGACGAATGTCGCCCCACGGCCTTCTCGCGGGCCTTTGATGGCGCCGGGTCACCTAGCTCAGCCCACTCCACGACTGAATTAAAAGGTGTCCGGCCTTTGAGAGCCGGGTGCGGAGTAGCGGAGTTTGAAAGAAAAACCCTCACTGAAGAGATGTAATCTTCCAAATGGCCAATTTAAACGCCTGATCTTTATCGCCTGCCTTCGCCCGGCTTTATAAAGAGAAGCTGTTTCTTCCGTGCTTTGGGGGCCTTTTAAAGTGTGCGGGGCAGGAGAAGAGAGGGAGGAAAAAAAAAAAAAAAGCTAGCTTAACAGGGCACGGAAGCATTTGTCTGAGGAGGTCCTTGGTGGCACCGCGTGTAACTGGTTTTCTTAGAGGCATAGGCACCATTCTAGGCACGTGGGTGCTAAGATGTCCGTGGGGCTTTAAGGGATGGCCTGAGTCAAGGTCTTTAGGAATATGGATACACAATGACTGTGAGAGACAGTGGTCCGCGCCTTTGTGGCTGTGGATCTTCACCTTACAAGAGGGAGGAAAGAACTTTCCCGGAGTCCCTCACCCGGCCCCGGCTTGGTGTTGCATGACGGTAGGCTGATGTTGGCTAAATATCCTCAGACT